TATTGTACTTAAATTCATCTGTTCTCCAGATACACAACTTCAAATAAAGCTCTATGTGTCAGTGTTGTGTTTACAACTTGTTCTACTACCGACCAAAATCAACTAATGCAGCTTTAAAAACGATTAATAGGATAAATCATTTCCTCAAACAGACGGGCGCTGTAGTTTTTGGTAAATGTTACTCGAAACAGGAGTAGAAAGCACATTGATTGTGACGGATGGATTAATAACTTTCTATGTTGGACTGACTCAAAATAAACTACAGTGCCCCTCAAAGTGAAGGCACATATCACCTGGTGACACACCGTGGATCATTGATGAGTTTTTAATGGTTTTTTGGAATAAGATTTACCAGGCTGACACTAGACAGACAATATTCATTAGTGGGATCAGTCCATTGTTGGTTTTGGTATTTTTTCGGGATATTTCCAGCTTTATCCTTTAAACCTGGATAATCATCTGACAGCGTATGTTTCTTGTATATTGTAGCAAAAAAAAATTGCGTCTGTGAGCTCAGCACTATTCAAGCAGAAAAAGTATGAAAATTAGACCCAAGTTGCTATAAACTGGAATTTTCTTTGAAGTCATTATAAGATGATTATGTCTTTTAAAAGTAAAATAAAATAAAAAAGTGATTCAATCTGCTTTGGCGCTGGGTGTGTACTTGGTTCTAGATGGCAGATCTTTTTTTTTTTTTTTTTTCATTTCATCTGTTAATATGAACTTTTTGTTTTGTCAGGACTTAGATCTGTCTATACATTAACCACTCCTGTTAGCCCTAAAGCCAGACCTCCACAAGCTTCTGATGGGTTTGCTAAAGCACAAACAGATCCGCAGCCATGATATAGTTAAATGTGCCCACTTCAACAGAAACACTGACTACTGTTTCTTCAAGGCACGTATGCTAATGTGTAAAAATACATATGCATCTCAGCCATGAAAAGGCCATTTTTATTCCAAAGGTTGTTATAAACATATTGTACAGGATATTTCGATAAGCCGGTATAGTTCCAATAATGAAACAATGCTTTTAGGGCTTATCTCAGACTCCACGCCTGGTTACGTTTGTCACGACTGAATAGGATCCATGGCATTTTACCATTCGCCCCAAACAGAGTGGCATTCAGCTTGTGAGGCATGCTCAGCTACCCAGGAAATTAATAGAAGCCTGTTAAACACTAAGCTGCAAAGAATACTGAAGGTAACGCTTCTCGAAAGTCAAGGTCCAGAAATTCAATGTAAGAATTGTTGGTTTCCGGAAATATTGATTGAGTCTGAAGGATAGAAGTCGCTAAGGGATTAAAATAGCTCCCAGCCCTGTGTTAACTTAAAAAAAAAAACAGCTCACCTTTGCTCCAGTCTTTACAAACAATACATACTTAAATATACATTTACAGCTAAAAACGCATTTAGAAATCATGTTTAGCGCATTATTTTAGGAGCTCGGTGAACAGAGTGGACATTTTGACGGCTAACGCTGGGCCAGCTGTGACAGAAAAGGCGGCTCGGGCTTTAAAACAGGCCTATAATCAACACAAATATCCAGAGTTGCATCAAATACTTTCCAGCCCTGTGGCTCCCGTAAATGACGCCTGTAATGCAAACTGACTCCTCGCGTTACACATGTGCATCAGACGCAGCACTTCGCCTCAGTGAGATGATGCATCTCAGTCGCATTTCTCAGAAAACTCTTACTATTCGGAAATGAGGATTTTATATGTACATTGTATTGTATATTGTCTTTGTTATAGGAGTAAAACCAAAAAAAAAACAAACAAAACAAACAAACAAACAAAAGAAAAAAAGAAGTGATTCATTCAAACCTGAGAACAAACATTATTGTACATTTTCTTTGAATGGAAAATTAGAAACCGGGTAACTAAAGCGTGTTCCTTTTAAAGATCTGCTGGGCTTTGGCAAAAGAAACAGCTCATGTCGTAAATCATTCTTTAAGACTATTTGCCATTAAAATACTTTTTATAGTTATTATGAAATAATTTCCCCATTCATCACACAAAATTCATGCACTTATCAGCTCTTTCAAACATAAAAAATCCTCCATATCCCGTTTCCACCTCAGATATTTTACAGAAACTGAAAGGATCATACTGATGTTATTAAGTTTCTCTTTTGCCGTCCCCTTACGTCAGCTCACACACTCTACTTCAGCTTGTTTCTGTGTTGATACATTTGTCAGATTGTGTTTATTATGGCTCCAAAGGGCATCCAAACTTCAAGCGTTGTCATCTTAGATCTGTACGCTTCCCCGTCTTAGTGAACTGTTCTGCTCTCAGGTTAGAGCTGACTCAGGGTCAGCCGCTACAGGCACGCATCTCGTACTATGTGGGGCTTTGAAGGATGATCATGCACGTCCTTTGATTAAAATTTACACTACTTATAAATTCAGCTCGAGTAATTTAATTGCACTTTGGTTGCTGCAGGTTAAAGAAAAGAAAAAAAAAATCCACCTTCTGATCCTCTTACACTGTTTTATGTCATCAGACTGTGAGTGTGTAAATTCACTCCCCTACGCCTGACTCATCAGCTCAGACTAGTTAGTGCTGGCTAACATTTCCCATAATGCTTCACTTCATGCTTCCCATAAGGATGTTTAGTACTACTCAACCGAAATTATGTTTTTACACAACTAAACTGCAACAGCAAATATGTTTCATAAGAAGAGTAATCTCTGGCTGGGTTATGTTCAGAAGCAACATATTGTTTTGGATGAATAAGGTTGTGTTATTATTATTATTATCTTTATCTTATAATATTATATATAATTATCTACTATTGGCAGCAGAGTCGCCAGGCGCTGCTGGGTGTGTGTGATGGCAGGTTCATAAAGAGCGTGGCTGCCACACCAGAGACCACCTGTGGTCACGTTTAGGCCACAGAAGCGCTTTGCTTAAGGTTAGAGAAAGACTGTGGTTTTTGTTCAGTGTAAATAAACTGAACTTTTCCTCACGCAAAACCAAGTGCTGTACCAACATAAACTTTAATGAAAGTTTAATGATGCTGTTGTCACCACAGGTGGATGCTGTGCTGCAACACTGGATATTTTGACAGAAATCAAACACGTTGTTTGTAAACACTTCACTGGTGTTCAGTATCAAGTGTATTTACAACAATATCTTCATTATGTTAATAGATATAATCTGCTTGCAATTCAATTTCATATAAAACCTATTTGCTGCTGCTGCAGTTTAGTTGTAAATAAATGTCATTTCTTGGTTTGATTCTGCCTGTGAAAACAGTTGTGTAACATCTTCTATGACTCAGGAGGGAGCTTTTCAGGCTATAAAAAAAATAAAACATAACTCTGATGATGTCATAGTGATGTCATCGGATGTTATCTCATCTCGGGGCTTGAAACTCCTCTTCATGAGAGTTTAACGAGAGATGCCACTGAGTTGCATCAATGGGAATCGTAGGACACAGTGTTTTGCGGAGCTTGACTAAATCATCATAATCATAATTTTTAAAAATCTGTCTCTGAGCTGTTGCCAACTTTAGGGGTCTTTAACTGATCTACATTACCCCTGCATTGCATTCTGGTCTATTTAGATGACCTTAAATAAAGAAACTGGTCTTTGTGCCTCTTTTACAATGGAGCCATCCCTATATGATTATTGAATATTGGTGGAAGGAGCCAATGCACTTTAACTGAACTGATTCAATAAATGCAAACCAACAAATAATACAATAATACAGACTCACACTGTCAAAAATCGGGCAAAAGTTTCAATATACCTTAGGAAAAAAAACAACAAAAAAACGTAGGTTTGAACCATTCGAGTATCTGTTAGAGGGCGAAGCAATACAACTACAGACATAACTACGTAAAGGTGCTTGTTTAGGTGCATATTGGTGCCCTGCAGGTTGGCAGTTGAATGTCACGGAGCATTTTGCCGTCTACCGACCGAAAACCGGAGTGTTTGGAAGCAGGGCTTTGGTAGATCGCTCGCAACTCACTCTGTCTGTGTGGACTCTCCACAATCATACCACAACACACGGTTGTTGTTTAACTATTCGCTCGTTTTGAGCAGGATTCAGCAACTACATAATGGAATTTAGAATATTTGTTGAAAGCTGCACAGACCCCGAAATAGATTTGCAAATCTGTTTAACAGTGTAGTGAGGAGGGTGGGTTTTTTTTTTTCCCCCCTTCAGATCAATTTTAACTGTCACTATGAAGAAAAAAAAGACAGTGGGTGAAATTAAAGCTTTTGTGGCCAGATCTGGATTTTTAGACGATGAAGGAGGGAAATGTCAATAACAGCAGCATGATCCTTTGAATCCAAGACAAACAGATGCCCCGTCACGCCGCTGCTCCGAAAACAGACTAAAGAATGTCACAAAACCATGGCACACTTATTAAATGACATCTAATGCACATGCTAATATTGGCAACGATATTTTGGCTTGATGGTGTGGTGAAACCGTTGAAATATATGATTGCTTATAGAAAACAATACCTGATGCTTTAAGTCATTTTAAATTCTCTGTCTGCAGTGAGGCAATGGAGTAGTACATAACGGTAAAAGTTTCTTCAAGTTAAGGTGAAACAAGCATACTCCCTTTTGAAAAATAGCATTTCCCCAAGTGTGCATCATTTGGTATGTAACCAAAGTTAATATATCAATTTTGTACTGCAAATCTGTAATAAGGAAGGTCTCGTAGTTTGTGTTTAGTGTTTTTTTAAATGGAGCAATCTCTTGAAAAAATAGACATCCATGCTTCATGCTTTGCATCCCATTGTGTCCACGCTTGCTGTTCCGCGCAGTGTTCTTCCTCCGTTCCCAAGAATTCGTCTTATATTACATACAACCAAACAGGGAAAAAAAAGTGCTGAAATAAGATTTGGTAAGGAGCAGCATTGGAAATGTTTGACCTTGTGTATAAAACATGGAAACTCATTTTGTCCTGTGTGTGTATGTGTGTATGTGTGTGTGTGTGTGTGTGTGTGTGTGTGTGTGTGTGTGTGTGTGTGTAAGGGTTTAGATAGATTTCCTTCTCCTCATGAGCTGGTGATTTTCTGTGAAGCTGTGAAGGCCCGGAGACACCGAGCTGATGGGCGAAGGGAAGAAGCTGTTTTTCAAGGTGCTGGGCGAGATCTCCTCGATCCTGTAGGAAACCGAGTGAAAGTACTGATTGGGGTTCAGCTGCGAGCTGAATGAGTTCTGATGGGAGAAGGCACAGCCCAGGCCCCCCATCCCTCCCCCAGAGCTGCTGAAGTCATGCGAGTGGTAGTGCATACAGGAGCAGACCGACTGCAAATCAGTCACCTCTGCCCTGTACGGCTCACGTCGCCGCCGACTACGCTGCAGCGACTCGTCCTGGATGTGGATGATCATGCTGTTCCGGTTGCCGGCGAGCGAGGCCCGTTCCTCCGCGTCCCGCCGCTCGTCCTCGCTGTTCATTGTCAGGAAGCGGAGCACCACCAGGTTGAGGAAGGCCCCGATGACCGTCAGGCCCACCAGGATATACATGAAGCTAAAGGCCACGTACAGGGGCTTCTTCTGGAGGGCCCGGTTCTTTTGGAGGGCCACAAAGTCCCCAAAGCCTATAGTTGTTAATGTGATGAAGCAGTAATAGTACGACTGGAAGAAGCTCCAGTCCTCATAATGGGAAAAAGCGGCGGCCCCGATGCACAGCGTGCCGATGCAAGAGAAGAATCCCACGGTCACCATGTTCTCCATGGACACGTCGGTGATGCTCATGCCGCAGCACTTCTTGATGCGCTTCAGGAGGTACTTGACAAAAGTGTTCATCCTCTCGCCGAGGCTTTGGAACATGACAAGAGTCAAAGGGATTCCCAGGACGGCATAAAACATGCAAAAGGCCTTCCCTGCGTCGGTCCCCGGCGCTGCATGCCCGTAGCCTGGGAAGAGAGCAGACAGACACCAGGAATTAGTGATGCGGAAAGGTTTCGCCAAAGTGCTGGGCGCCCTGTGAGGCGGCAGCGGCGTCACAGGCGCTAACCCGCTACTCAAAAAGCCCCAGATCAGCTTTTGTTTACAAACATGACCAAGCAAGAAATTTCCCTAAGAGTCTGCGAGAGCTGCCAAAAAAAAAGAAAAGAAAAAAAAGGGGGTGGGTATTGAATAGTTGCACGCCACAGAAATGTTTCTGCTCATTAATCTTATTTGGGCTCAAAGATTATGGCGGGAGGGATGGGGGGGTGGGGGGTAGGAGGGGGGTGGGGGGTGAGGGTGGGGTTCCAGAGGTTAGCCAAGAAAGTGTTCCGGTGAGGTAGAGGAGTTTGGAGGAGGGATTGGAAAGGAGTACGGACGAGCCAGTGAAGCTTTTAGCTTAATTAAACTTTATCTTTAGACCACAAGCTGCTGACTCACACACAAACAGACTTTTTTGGAAAATCAACCTGTGGGACTAACAATAGGATTCATGCAGCACATGAGTTTTAATTTTCAGATGTAATATAAAGGATTTTATATGCTTTGCAGGATAAACATGAAATTGCTTCAGAGATTGCATTATGAATGAAGCTCACTGCGGATGAATATGCAGGGATGAAAGAAGAGAGTCTTATTGATTATCTCTCCTCCACCACTGCCCATAACTGTGAGTACTAAACACCAACAGCAAAGCCAAGAAACACCCACCATCAGTTGGCATGTGTATCACTTCAACAACTGCCTTCCAAATGGAGGTATAATTTTTCTGGTGTAGTGTACAGCATTTATAATTTATTTATTTATTTATTTTTAGATATATCCTGAGCAAGTTTTTGTTTTGTGCTCTCAGATATTGATTCTGTGTTTTTCCCATATGGCTTTCCACCCACTCAAGCATGTGTTGAGTTATGCACTTCAAATAAGAAATAAATAAATAAAAAATGGCTGTAGCAGTCTGATTTGCTCTGGCAAAGTGAGTACTTATATTTGCATGAACAGTGTGTATGTATGTGTTGCACCAGGACGGTTTGAACGGTGGATTTAAACATTTTTATTGACTTTAATATTTATTTTTTGACACTTTCTTTAAAATCTGAATTTCACAGTTCAAACAACTTGTTATTCTAAATTAATTTAAAGTTGCACTATCAATATTTTTAACCTTAACAATAGTTGAAATGACTTCGTCTAATGTGAGCAGGGTCACTTGTTGTTATGAGCTCACAGTGTATTGTCACCCAACTCTGATCTACAGACAGATAGAACTTCTCTATAGTAGAATAAAAGCAATGGGAACCAACATGAGGACTTGTGTCCCCTTCAGCCTGGTTGGTATCTGAAGAACAATTACAGATTAAATCTGAGAACCAGTGCTGGTATTAAAGTGGCTGGTTAATTCAGAGCAGAATCAGTCGTAGAGATCAGACTCTGAAGCTAGTTCTCCACTGAAAGAACAAATGGAAGTGGAAGAAAAATCCAACCCTTATCTCAACGGGCTCAAGTTGTAGCCCACAGCTAATCGACGCCACGGTGACGTTATACCCCCTGTTTACGTCCCCCAAAGCTTCCAGATGATGAGAACTGTAGAGTATTATTATCCCCCAAATAGAAGTAAGACAAAGAATGATATTAGGATTTACAAAGATATTAATATTAACTTTATTCATGTTGCTGGGTCCCAATAACATGGTTCTTATATTCCTGAAACACTGGCACTCCGATCAGTCATATGAAGATATTTGCATTTTCCCCTGTGTTGAAAACTTGCTTGCTTTGTTGTGACATCACAAAGTTACAGAAGTCCTGACGGCTGGTTTTAAGGCTCAGTTTCTGAATACAGGCTGTGTGCATTTCTCTGTGGACTGAGGCTTTGATACTTTCACAGTATTAATATAGAACCTAGACCTGATCTATAATCAAACAACACATGGACCTTTATACAATATTTGACCTTTAAAAACCCCAGCCACAGAAAGCAGCTATGAGCAAAGTCTAGTGTGGAGTTGCTCTTTAACTTCAATATTATACTGATCAGTTTCAAAATATGTTACACAGCTTGATTTTGTTCTTGCTCTCCTATTTTTTACCATCAGTTTCAATTTAATTCAGAGCACTGTGTAAATCAACTTCAACTCAAAATGCACTTAATGCTGCAGACTGATTTGAAAATGCTGTATAGCCTCCGGCAACAATACCGCTTAAGTATGATAGATCAGTCTTGACCTTGGAAACAGAATTGTCTTAACTGAAAGTCCATGTACTAGAAAAAAAAGCATTTTTGAACAGCTACCAAGGTTCTACTCTCCCTTATTCACAATATACGACCACCTGTTGTCATGGTCATGGTCATGTGACACCTGAGCAAAGTTTGCAGTCAGTGGGAACATTTGGGCCACCTGGAGAATACAGAATAAAATCTACAACACTGGTATTCTCTGGAAAAACGATATGCATAAATGTTGAGTTTTTAAATGCACTGAAAGATGCAGAATCACTGATCGGTCCTCGAAGTTTGAGGTCTCTGCAGGAAGCTGTTGGATCAGCTGCAGGTCAGCAGCAGCCGAGCGTGTTGCCGGCGTGCGCCGACTGCAGATGAGCCGAATGAATTCTTTTGAACGATGAGCAGCAACGTGCACATCATTTCCACTATACGCACAAAAAAGGGAAAGTGGCTTCTACCAACAACATGAGTGACCTCATCAAGAATATCTAAAACACACAAATCTTCATTGCTCTCCCTCACGCAACACACATGGGATATTAATGGCAATGTGCTTTCTGGAAACAGGACAACCATTTGGATACGATGCAAATCTGTGACTAGTGGCTCTATCATGGTGGCAGCAGATATGAGCAATTCATAGAAATTGCTCTCTTCCCACAGAATTTATTCTAATTCATGCAGGAGAAAAACATGTTTAAAGAGACTTTGCCTACTGCTCGTGAAGACTCAATTTGGGTCACAGTGAACATCATGTACAAGAAGCAGCGAAACATGCTTGTGGCATCCCAAAAGTGTGAGTCAATTATAATTACCTCTCAGGACAGATTTGCATTCTACCCAGCCATCTGTCTTCTCCCTTCCTTGCCCAAAATTAGCAAATTAATTGATATTGATTCTTATTGCTTCAATTTGTTCTCGTGGAGTAATTAGGACATAATGAATTACAGTGGGGGCTGTGGAGAAATGACAACTTTCATTTGATTTGTGCTGCAACTCGAGCATGCAGACAGAGCTCCTCCACAGACAAATCCATCAACATTGTGTTTTACACTCAAAGACATTATCCACCAACTAACAGATACTTCTGTTTGGACGAGTCATTCGAGGTTTCTGTGCGACTATCGCTCTCAGCAGCTTCTCGCTGCTGCAATCAGACCCGAGTGTATTAGGTATCGATTCAAATGCTGGGTCGCCACCCTTGTATGCGTTTCCTGTTAGATTTTCACATCCTTATTTTAAGTTTAAAACTGGACAGAAGGAGGAAGGTTGAGGAAGTCAAGAAAGCAGTTTGTTAAAGGTAAAAAAAAAAAGAAAAAAAGCAATGAAATAACTTCTGTAGTTTGAGCTCTTGTGTTTTAGCTTCAGCTCCAACATGCATTAGTGTCCTTACATTTCCAAAGTAATAAATACAGGATGATTAAGAGGGATTTACAGGGACTCAGGGAGATGGCCTGCAGAAACTACAGAGCGGATATTATCTTGTTATCATCTGTGACATTTTCATATCAAATAATGTCCACTTGGCTACTGTCTATCATCATCTGGTACGACAGTGAATCCATAAACACTTTTCAGTTTGTTTTTTTGTCTGGGAACTTTTTTTTCCTTTCTCCTGAAGTTGTGATGTATTTCATGAGCATGAGAATGAGCTTTCTCCTTAGATAAAAAATAAAACAAAAGCAAACAAAAAATAATCATTTCATTCTTAGTCCTAAATAAGTCAAAGGAAGAAAAAAAACTATAATGGATCATAACTTAAAATATGTCTTATTTTTGCCGAGCCAGCCTCTTAAAGTATTTCTTTGATGTTGTTGATGGGATGTGTGGTTCTCTGTGGCAGCGCTGCACTGTGTAATCTGTTTGTCCTGTTATAATGACTCTATTATCTGCTGTTGTCTTGGGAACAGACATATTTGCTCTCAACAGCGGAGCCCTGCCATGCACAGGTGCTTTTGTGCTCATGTGTGCACAGGTGAACGTGTGTGTTTGTGTACAGCGCAGTGTGTAGTGCAGTGGAAAAGAGAATCACCCTCTTTAAGTAAATGATAAAAGTACAAGACAGGCCCCGGTCACTCCGATATTACATAATGAGACACATTTTCAAAATGGATGGTTTGTGTCCTATACATCCATGTAGAAGAAGACATCTGATATACAGAATTTTCAATCATATTATCTTCTCCTACAAGCTGCTGCAGGCGAGATATGTTAATAAAAACACACCAGTCTTATCAGCCAGAAGCACAAAGTGTGTCTGCAACCGAGCCCTCAATATAATTCACTAATTGAGATGCTGTGAATTTGTACAAATATAAATCTGATGAGCTGACGCACAAAAGAAAACTGAAAAAATTGTCTCCTAAACAGATTTTCCTGAAAAAGAAATCCTTATTTAGTACATCTTAATATACTCAATTATAATAAACAATGTAACAATTGATTGCTTTCAGGACAAAAATGGGACATTTTGTGATAAAAACAGCAGCGAAAAACCATTCACAGTACTTGGCAATCAAAAGTGGAATTAAACTAAATCTGCCGGCCATCTGCTGAAAAAGAAATAAACATAAAAAATATAATGAGATATCTTAGTGTGAGCTGAAAAGAGCAGCATTTCAGGTCAGCTTCTCCCACAGAACATTTCAATTTGAAGAAGTTTTCTGTATCACTGCACATCTTTTGAGTCACTCTTCAAATGTTTGAACAAACCAGAGTGGGAAGTGTGATAACACGTCGGCACAG